TATTAGAGGATATAGAAACAGGGAAAATGGTTACAAACACTGGGCGCAGTGTGGGAAGGGGAGGGGAGAAGGAGGGGAGTGTGAGGAGGGACATCAGGGAGAAAAAGAGAGAGGCAAGACATTTATGGGACACAGAAATGGATTATTATCTGTTGATGATAGTATAGTATCCTCAACTGGACTGGTGTGAAATGTACCCAAGTTGGAAAATTCACCTTACAAGCTAAGTGATGGATAATGATTGAATGTGTAAAAGAAATAAAAATAAAATAAAATAATTTAAAATATATATATATAAAAAATTTTAGTTCAAGGAGATAAACTGGAATCTGCCAAGCAAAATAAATATGAAAGAAAACATTAAGAACAGTTTAAAATCAGTCCAACCTGTGATATGGTGGTTAAGGCAGCCCACTGAGTCTCAGAGCTGGTAGCTTGAGAAACATGCTGGGCATGTGAGTGTGCATGCTCAAAATCCTGAAAGAGGGGGAAATGGAGGGGAATAGATTGTAGTTTGACCATTCTCCATAGGAATGTTTTCTCACTTTCCCTCTCTTTCTCTATCCTTCTCTGAAGAGTATATCTTCTCTCTGGCAATTTTTTTTTAATTTAAATTAGAAAGAAAGTGAAAGTTAAAAGTATAAAAACAATATATAATTTTAGTAATAAATTTAAGATAAATAAAAGCAAGATGACTTCAAGGATAATTAAAAAAAAAGTAATAACAAATATATATCGGGTTGTCGGGAAAACCATGATGCATTTTTGCATAGAAAAACATGAAAATATGTCATGACTTTTCTGACAACCCAATATTACCAAGTAAAATTAAATATTACCCAAATTTATTTTAGTTTTAATTTTGCTAGAGGGCACTTGCACTTAGCAAGGGAGAGAAACAGTGTCTTTACTTAACAAGACAAGATTTCTATCTAGGCCTTTGTAACCAGCAATTTTGCCGCCCTGGCCCGGGACTGAAGTTATCAAGCTGACCTGGGACTGAAGTTATCAAGCTTCCCGCAAGCCCCCTCTTCAAAAGACCCTGTCCGGTAATCAAGACTTAAGAAGAAAATGCACCAGACAAATAGACTCCTTTGTTCTGAGAACTGTGTTTGGCTTCACCTGTTCAAACAGAACAGACATCATGTTTTATGATCATTGTTCCTGTGCCTTGAATTCCCTGTTTCATAGAGTAAATCTTTTATTTCCCCCTCACCCCTCCTACTCCTGTAAGACATCCCTCAATAAATACATGTGTTTGGTAGCCACTAGTGCTGTAGTCTGGAGCTAGCTCTGGCTGTAGCCGGCTGAGAACATGCTAAGGAGTATTGAGGTCTCAGTCTAATTTTTGTTCGTGATCACCCGTGTTGCCTTCCTGTGTACGAGTCTCACTCACCCCTGCCGAGGCTGGATCCCGGCACCATATGATCCAGAAATCCTACTCCTGGGTATCTAACCAAAGGACAGAAGAATGCTTAGTCAGAAAAGTTCTTGCATATCTATGCTTACTGCAACATTATTCATGATTGCTAAGACATGGAACCAACCCAAATGTCCATGAACAGAAAAATGGATTGAAAAAGTGTGGTAGATATACTCTATGGAATACAACTCAGTCACAAAAAACAAGACCTTTGCTTTTTATAGAAAGTGAATGAATATGAAAGATTTACCACTGAGTGAAGCAAGCCAGGCTATGAAGGAGAGACATTGTACATCTTAATAAATACTGACTGTCCACACTCTACAGCTGAAACTGAAATATTAGAGGATATAGAAACAGGGAAAATGGTTACAAACACTGGGCGCAGTGTGGGAAGGGGAGGGGAGAAGGAGGGGAGTGTGAGGAGGGACATCAGGGAGAAAAAGAGAGAGGCAAGACATTTATGGGACACAGAAATGGATTATTATCTGTTGATGATAGTATAGTATCCTCAACTGGACTGGTGTGAAATGTACCCAAGTTGGAAAATTCACCTTACAAGCTAAGTGATGGATAATGATTGAATGTGTAAAAGAAATAAAAATAAAATAAAATAATTTAAAATATATATATATAAAAAATTTTAGTTCAAGGAGATAAACTGGAATCTGCCAAGCAAAATAAATATGAAAGAAAACATTAAGAACAGTTTAAAATCAGTCCAACCTGTGATATGGTGGTTAAGGCAGCCCACTGAGTCTCAGAGCTGGTAGCTTGAGAAACATGCTGGGCATGTGAGTGTGCATGCTCAAAATCCTGAAAGAGGGGGAAATGGAGGGGAATAGATTGTAGTTTGACCATTCTCCATAGGAATGTTTTCTCACTTTCCCTCTCTTTCTCTATCCTTCTCTGAAGAATATATATTCTCTCTGGCAATTTTTTTTTAATTTAAATTAGAAAGAAAGTGAAAGTTAAAAGTATAAAAACAATATATAATTTTAGTAATAAATTTAAGATAAATAAAAGCAAGATGACTTCAAGGATAATTAAAAAAAAAGTAATAACAAATATATATCGGGTTGTCGGGAAAACCATGATGCATTTTTGCATAGAAAAACATGAAAATATGTCATGACTTTTCTGACAACCCAATATTACCAAGTAAAATTAAATATTACCCAAATTTATTTTAGTTTTAATTTTGCTAGAGGGCACTTGCACTTAGCAAGGGAGAGAAACAGAAAGAGACAGGAAAAATGAGAAAGCACTCCCCATGTGAGTGGGGCATGTCACAACTCCTCCATTTCTTCCTTCAGGATTGTGGACAGGCATGCACAAATGTCCAGCATGTTTTTTTAAGCTTCAGAATCATGGACTTGAGCAGTCAGTCATGTGAGATACAGCCACCTTTACCAGCACATCGCCAGTTGTCCCAATACTATCCAAATGTTAATGAAACAAAATATATCCTTAATAAATACAAAAACAGGGAAAGAAAAAAGGAGTAGATAATGAAACCCAACTGAAGGCAATCAAGGTGAAAGACTTTCTAAAACAAATTCCGGGTGAAGGCTCATTGACCAGTAGTTCTCAGACAATGTGACCACTAGGCAAACGAGGGTTTATATTCTAGGGACTCTGGTGACACTGAAGGCCCTGCATAGTTCTGTACACAGGTAAAATCAAAGTAAGTGCTCAATAAAAATAAAAAAATGTCTTGGAAGGGTCAAATTCAATCAGACAACAAATCTAGAAAGAAAAATTAACGTCTTATTAAACTTGTTTTGTCTTTTATTTATAAATCAAACTGGTAAAAAAAATCTTTATTTGCTCACAAGATTCACTAACATGATTATATTCACAGTATGAGAAAAGTGTTCAGTTTACTTGGCTTTTTAAGTAATAAGCTTCTCACAGTATTTAAAATATGATTTATGGGGGCCAGCAGGTGGTACAGTGGCTAAGGTGCTGGACTCTCACATGGCCATGGTTCAAATCCCAGACCCAGCAACTTGAAAATCACAATGGGTGTGTGTGCACAAGGCATTCAATATCTTTTTTTTTTGTTTTATAAGAGGTTTTTGCTATAGGGTATGTGTGCTCGCCAGAAAGACAGAGACAGAGAAACAGAAAGTGAGAAATCACCCCCCGGGGGGATGGCTATGCCTCAATCCCTTCTCCTTCATTCTTTTCTCGGGATCTTGGGCACACATGCACATGTGCCCGGTGTGAGTTTAAGCCACCGGGTCCGGGACTCGAACCACAGTCGACTATGTGGGAGTCCAGCGACATCTGCCAACTGTTGGCCCCAGTACTCAATATCTTAAGAGGAAAATGAAGGAGAAAGGATTTTGTCATGGCCATTCCCCCTGGGGGTTCATTTCTCACTTTGCCTATCTCTTTGTCTCTTTCCAGTGAAAGCATATTCCTTATAGCAAAACCTAAAAAAAAGAAAAAAAAAAAAAAAAAAAACCTATAGAATTGTTTACATATACCAAATAATGTTTAAATATCTCTCAGTTTCTATACAAAGAAAGAAAAAAACGAAGGTTAATGTTGATTACTCAAATCAGGGGTCACCAACTTTTCCTGTAAAAGGCCAGCTAGTAACATTCAGGCTCTACTGGACATATGATTTCTGTTGTAACAACTCAACTTTGCTGGTGTAGTTTGAAATCAGCCACAGAAAATATATTAATGGGGGTACCAGCAGTTAGCATAATGGCTATGTCGCTGGACTCCCACGTAGTTGACCGTGGTTTGTGTCCCGGACCTGGTGGCTTAAAACACATGCCAGGCGCGTGTGCGTGCCCAAGATCCCGAGAGGAGAATGAAGGAGAAGGGACTGGGGCATGGCCATCTCCCCGGGGGGATGATTTCTTGCTTTCTGGCTTTGGCTGGCGAGCGGACGGGCCCTATAGCAAAAACCTCTTAAAAAAAAAAAAAAAAAGATAATAATAAAAAATAAAAGAAAATATATTAATGTGGACCAGTAGGTGGCATGATAGTTACATCATGTGGTCAGCCGCAGTTCGAGTCCCAGACCTGGCAGCTTTAAACTCACGCCGGGCGTGTGTGTGTGCACATATGCCCAAACTCCTTAGAGGAGAATGGAGGAGAAGGGACTGTGGCATGGTCATCCCCCGTGGAGGGTGATTTCTCTCTTTTTATGTCTCTGTCTCTCTCTCTCTCTCTGGTGAGTGTATGTGCCCTACAGCAAAATCTCTAAAAAAAAAATAAAATAAAAAATAAAAAAACACATAAATGAACAAAGGCCTGTGTTCCAATAACTCTTTATTTACAAAAAGCAGGAACCTGGCTAGACCTGGCCCTGGGGCTGTAGTTTACCAACCCTCAACTAAAATGATCTCTACATTAATGGTGTTTATCACATGTTCAATTAAGTAAATCTAATGGTATAAAACTTTTAACTCTCTATTTAAGCTTTAGAATTTATTGAATTTCATGGATTTAACTGTAATAAGGCAATTAGAAATTATCTTTGAAGTTCATTTGGCAACCTGAATTCTATTTATAACTTAACACCTGCAATAAATTACAGATTTCTTTAGCTTACCTTGGTAAAGTTGAGTGAATGAATAAAATAACTAAAGAACTATATTCAATTTCCCATTTTCTTACAGTGAGGTATTGATTTTCAACATCTATTGGAAAATAAACAGCATGGAAAAAATATCCCATTGTTTCACACA